AAAAATAATATATCTAGTAAAGTGAAATGTAAATTCATTTTTAAAATATTTTCACTATGCTTCGGAGCGCTTGAATATGTAAGTTGTTTGTGTAGTGGATTGTGAAACGTGGCAGCGTCTCTGTACATTAACTTTTAAAAATACAAACTGCATCTAGTTAAGTACTCCACTAAGTAAACAAAAAGAACCGGTTTTTCAACTTTTTAATACTTGTAATTGCTACTCAGTCAAAGAGTTAAGATATTGGAGCTTTTCTATAAAAGGATGATTACCCTGATGATTTATCCTGATGGTAAAAAAATAGTGTGGCAGCTGCCTAGAATACTGCCACTCCCTCTCATCCCGTGGATCATAAGCAAGAAGACCTCAAGTTTTCGACGGATAGTGATATAATTATCCTAGTCATCGTCAGACAAAAACTGCCCAGGCCTGTAATACGAGTAGGCAGTAGTAATATAGATGCGATCTGTAAGGTACTACAATTGCCAATTTGCTTGCCCAGCATGGCGTTTCAGGGCAAATCCTCCAATGTAAAGAACTACAAAAACATGGTCCCGATTTCCCGGTGGTCCCATTATTCCTGGCTGTGGTGGCGGGAATAGTAACGATGGGGCAGAGGGTGCAATGTCTCCCCGCGAAAGGGCAGTATATCACCAAAATAGGGATTTTGCGACTTATAAAAACGAACTCTGCGGCAAGACGAACACATTTACGAACTTGAAACTGAGTTGTAAAATAGACGATGGCATATTGTAGGATAAGTGAAGCTCAAAAAACTGGAAGGACACATCTGCACTCGGGTCATTTTCTCCAGGTCCAGCTCTTGAATATTTCCCATTAGATTAAGTTCTCATTTGACACTAATTTTTTTAATGGTTATAGTATATAGTATATATTTCCCATTAGATTAAGTTCTCATTTGACACAAATTTTTTAATGGTTATAGTATAAATATAAATTTAATAAATTAAATTAAATGAAGTATGAATTTTATACTTCTTTTTATTTGCCTAGTTATAAAATAATAATGATTGACATGACAATAGTACTTTTAATTTTTTTATTTTATTTGATATTAAATATATATATATATATATATATATATATATATATATATATATATATATATATATTATACTGACTTATTTACTTATAAAAATAATGATTTAATATATTAGGTTAAATAATGTTCTCATGTCAAATGGGCAAACATGTGGACTATGTACAACTATTTGTCATCTTTAATGTACCATGTTTATCAAATAAATAATATTAGATTTTTTTTGTACTAATATTATTAGTTTTAGTATTTATGTATTTTTAGCTATAGTTTTATAAATATATAAAATTGAAAATGATATACATGCATATCAATAAAATAAAATAAATAAACAATATATATATGTGTGTGTGTGTGTTTATGTAAATGTATGATATGATACCCTTACCACAATGTAACTTACTTATTTTGTGCTCCTGTCTCTCACAAATTCTAAAAATACTTATTTAACTAATTATGAAAAAAATGTTTAACTATTTATGAAAAAAGGTAACTATGTAAAATGTGGGAGAAATAAATGTTTATTATTATTATCACATCCCTAAAATTTACAAAAACTTACATACTCTAATAACTTAAGTACAATAAGTCATAGGCATCAATCTCGGCTTATCACTATTCAACCGCTCTATGTATCAGTATCAGAGTGATAAGCGCGCTTTTTTTTTTGCGCCCGAAGCAATTGGAAAGGGCTACCCTTTATGTAGGGAGGCGGAAAATGCATTACGCATACCACGATAGCCGGTCTATCGTGGTTATGAGGGACTCACTGCCTTTTTTTTAACATGGGGAAATGCCTACGCATACCCGCCTCGCGGGAGCAAAGACGGGTTATGTCGGTCTCGCAGCGACTAAAACCCCATGGTGTTCCACCTTCGTCGCATATTGGCAGGGCTACGGGAACGCTTTCGCACACTTCCGCGGCCCTACCAGCGACTGCCGCCCCATGGCAGCACCTCCTCGGGAGAGGAATATTCCTCCCCGTTCTCCTTCCCAAGTAAGGCGCACCAGAACACATGGCACGCCTTCCTCCACGGCCTCCAATTGCATCTACAGACGCCCCCGCGTCCGATGCGCGAAGGCCATGGGGCCAGGAAAAATGAGCACTTAGAAGTACTAGCCTTCCCGACCCCAGCGGCGGATCTGGTCTATGGCTCCACCGCCAACCAAGATTCGGCTGCGGAGGATAGGGAGAGCGGCGCCTCGCAATACCGACAATCCTCTCCCCCCGCAGCCCCATCACCACCGCATCAACGGTGCGGCCCCGTTTGAGTCGCGGAGGATAGGGCGAGTGGCGCATCGCCATACCAACACTCTTCTTCCTCCGCGACTCCACCTCGGCTGCAGCGGTAGAGGGTGCGGAGTCCCCACTCGCTGCAGTCCACCAGCACATATCCGAAGTGGGCTCCCCAAGCCCACTCGGAGTGGCCACCTCAGGCCGGGCTTTCACCTCGGGCCAGCCACGTGGATTCCTCTTTGTTCACCGTGGGAGACCAAGCCACGGCTACTAAGCCCCCCCGCCACGACAAGGCGGGAACCCGTTCGGGGGGAGGGACTCACTGCCTACCGGGGGAACCTGATACCCTCTAAAAACCGCCTTTGGGGACTGGCAACTGGCTGTTTAAGCTTCTTATGCCGTATCGGGAGCGACCCTCTTCTGGGAAAAGAGGATGCAGTTGATAAGCGCGCTCTATACCTTGCTTATTTATACTCTAAGTTTTGAGCACTTTTAGCTATGGTTCCGAGGGGTCACTTCTAAATGTTACTTTACTCTTTGGTGGGGTCTACAAATTTGGGAAAAAAGGTCCCTTTGGCTACAGTCGGAGCTTGACAGATAAAGTTAAAATAATTATAATGTTATCACTATTTTAGGTAATAGATTGAAAGCTTATTATAACAGTACCCCTCTCTCTCTATAGTAGTTAAATGTTTCCTTAATAATTAGGTTTTCTAAAAGATGTCGCTCTTTAAAGATAAGACCGCTTTTTTCGTACCCACAACATAGATTTTCCTCCTGTAATCTATTTTATCTGCACAATAAATTATATTCATATACAATTTTATCAATTTGTGTAATTGTGCTACACGTATCTTTAATATTTATAGTGTAAATACCTAGCAGTGGTGTAAAAGCGTTTGTAGATTAGTCTCCAACATGTGTACGGAATTATTAAGGAACATATTTAGCAGTGCAATCCTACCTATTCCAAACCCTTTTAAATTAGTTTACAAAAAGCGACATTTTTTTAAAATTATAATACAATTTATATTTTAGATTCACTAATAAAGTTGAAATACATATTTCTATAACTTAATTAAAATAAATATGTATTATTATGGTCAATGGTCAAACCTGTGGAAATAATTCTTTATAAAGATTTAATGGAAACGAAAGCAAATTAGTACCCGAGCCAATACAAAATTTTATTAAAATTATTATAACCGTTACATATGTAACTTATAAAATTTATTTGACATATATATACAATAGACGTGTAGTGGCTGTGTAAGAATATCTACTAACACATATCGTCTTATTGGTATTGTGAGGGGCGACTGAGGGACACTAACCAAGAGATGAGCAGTAGTGTCTCTTAATAATACAAAAAAATAGGAAACTGCGGTCACCAACTATATTAAATAATGGCCTATGTTCAGAGGTGTAGGCTTTAAAGGTAATGTAAGGAAATGATGATGGATTCGTCTTAACTTTCGCCACACCACTCCTCGGTTTCTAATTCACGTCCTAGAACATAATTCGTACGAATGAGACGCAAAATTAAGTAAAAATAATTTTATTATTTTAACAAGCAGGTACCAAAATTGTAAAGAATACACGTTACATCTTTTTAATATTCTTAAATATCTAGAAATTTGATTACTATTGAATATTCAAAGGGACAATCAATTATCGTAGACGTTAACGGATTGAAGAGATTTTATCTACCACAATTACTGACAAAATGATTGATGTTAATTATGAAAACACCACTAATTTTTTTGTTATAAATGATTTACTCCATGAATTAAAATCATTTGCTCATACGGATTTCAGCTTAAAAGAAACCTGATCATAAAATGAAATATAAGGAGTTACTGAAACAAGCACAAGTACATGGTGTAAATAAACTCGCTGCATCAAGTGATAGGTATAGTGCATATTCATTACGTATAATAACAAGATTGAGATCAATATTTCTCTATCAAAATCATTATTTCCCTAGGAATTAAGTATCTAATTGGCAATAATAATCGATGCATGCACCATAGTAATATTTCATAAAGCAGTATAAAAAAATCTATTTACTTGGTCCATAATATTAATATTTTATATGACATGAATAATAGTTTTCATAATATGTTCATTTTTCATCATTGGTTACGTTTTATGAAGGTAAACGGAAAATATTTTGAATAATTTGAAATTTTCTAACAGAAGTTACAGGTAAATGAGAATATCATCAACGTAGTTGAAGTCAATTAAATACGTTTCATTTAGAATAACTTACAAACTACTAATCAGATCTTGATTAAGTTTATATGGGACAAAATAAAAATTACAAACTTTCAAATAAAAAAAATCATAAAAATCGGTTCAAACAGAAAAAAGTTTTGAAGTATACACATAAAAAATACAGTCGAATTGGGAAACTCCTTTTTTTGAAGTCGATTGAAAATTATGTTTTGCCAAAATCTTTGGATGTTAAATTAAAACTGTTTACAAACTTGCCACTGGTAAAAATTTAGAGAGCTTTAATTAGCAAAACAATTACTAAAATAAGTTTGGTTTATTTTTGTTACGATCAAAAAAAGAAACTTAATTTAATTATTTTGTAGATGGCAGTGGGCACTAGTATTGTTTGTCCTCTTTTTCTGTTGCAACATCGTTCTGTGGATATGGGTACAACGTTTTGCAGATAATCCGACGTTTGTCGTAAAAATGGAATCTCAGATCGTACATAAACCTTTTCCTGCTGTTGTTGTTACACCAGTAATTACATTCCCTGAACATAGAGTCGATGCTTTTATTAAAAAACTGTAAGTTTTTATTCGCGTTTTACATTTTTAGACTTATATCTGTAAGATTATATGATTTGTACTTAAAAGTCTATTTGTGTTTTCCTTAATTTTTAATTCAAACATTTTTTTTCACTACATATATCCAAAATGAATGCTTAAAGTTATGGAAAGATTTAACTTCCTCATAGTATGCTTATTATTAATACGCAGCGATTATCCTTCTGGTTTTAATGAAACTTATACGCGAGAAGTGATACAACAGTTAGCAGCATTTTTTTCACCTGATGTGCCGTATAAATTGGCGGATTTAGATAACATCGAAAAAATTCTGGAATACAATCGTTTGGATATTGAAGCATCTGGAATTAAATTAACGGAATCCTGTGAAGAGACTATTACAAGGTATTTGCATATATATATATTATTATTAAAATCTTAGTTAAAGTTATGTACTCTCCAATTTAAGTCAAGTTTTACACGTGGTAATGGCTTTACCACGTGTAAAACGTTTGAGCTATATTATAGTTGTAGCACAAATGGCTTGGCTAGATCGGACAGGATCACGCTCTCACAGAATACCACCGTAAAATAGCAGCGTAATGCTGCTGTGTTTCGTGTGGTGAGTGTAGAGAACCGGAACCCATTTTAATGGGATCGAGGCATTCCATATTATTCCTCAGGGGTGACAACGCATTTTGCATTTTGATTTTGATTCCACTTACCATCAGGTTCAAGACTGTGTGCTCGTTTGTCATTCTTTGCAATAAAAAAGGTCGTATATTACACTTTGAATTATTGTTATCATTCAATACCTTGACAGATGTCGCTGGCGCGGAAGAATTGTGAAGTGTACAGCTATTTTCAAAATGGAATTGACGGTGTACGGATTTAGTTGCATTTTTAATGGTCGCTCTTTAAAAAGGTGTGTTGAGGCATTTTCATTTTGCGTAAATAGTTGTGTAAATAAATTTAAATTTCTGTATTTACTTCATCATCAACTTCTAAAATTCAACAGCTGGAACAAGGCATCTTCGTTTTAAAAAGTTTAAATTTGGCAGGTAGATTGTCGATCACATTACACGACTTTTCCTACTTTTGACGATGCTTTTCGTCGTCAGAAGGAGTACCTATTATATTTTTGGTGTAAACATATTATATTAAAGTCCACTGCTGAACATAGGCCTCCCTCACAGATTGCCTCATAGGGGAGATATTTACCATTGTTGCTACCCTTGGCAAGCAGGTTGCCAACCGCAGTTTTTTATTTCCAGTTTATATTAATAAGACGCTGTTGCCCATCGCCTCACTAGTTTCCCTCTGTCGGCTCTTACGACATCTACGAGATGATATGGGGTTGTGGTTATTCTTCCTGGCCACTACACGACTCCAGGTATCTCAAATTTCTACGGGAAGATATAAAACAAATTCCGGTATAAAACTATTATTGAATGTTTAAGAATACTATGATACCAGTACATTCAGTGTCATCTGTGCTCTTTCTAAGGCTTTAAGATTTTGTAGACCAAAATATATATAAATTTAAATACTGCGGAATTCGTGATGCCGAATTTGGACTCTTATTATCATACGTCACACACTGAGATCAAAAAGTTGCAGTGAATCGATACTTGGTCCTTTTTTGTTCTTGTCTTTACTTTATAAAAATATCATGCTTGGGCAATGTATGTAATACTTAAAATTTATATGGAATTCCATCAGAAGACCAGGCGAAGTGTGAAGTAAGGGTTGAATATTTTTATTGCATACATTAACTGGACAATGCAGGCATTTCATGCTATGCTTAAATGGTATTAGGAAATGTACTCATAGAAGTGAAAATAATACCATGCAGTTATTAAATGAAAATAACCCACCTGATGGTAAGTACATGATTAAGAGATACGCTGTCACCCATAAGGACCAAGATGTACCGCATTATTTCCAGTAAAAGGGTCTCCCACTCTCTGCATTCGTCCTATGAAACTCAGCAGCAGTATTAAGCTGCTATTTTTCGTAGGTGTCTGTGAGAGTTTGGTTTTTCTTCAGTCGAGTAGACTCATTAGTGCTACAACCAAATTAAGGGGATATAGTAAGTCAGCTCAAATTCTAATTTTGGCCCCACTTCCCCGCGCGTCGTATGATACGTACCGACATGTTTGTAATCACTAATACTGTAAGTAGATAGGCCGTTGGATACTTATTTCATTAGGTTTATCATATTTATGCCTGTTTCTTAACGCCAACCCAGTCGTTATTTTTATTACGGTTATTTCCCATTTTAATTTTACGTCGTCCTCTTGCGTAATGTGTATTATGATCGTAAGCGACACGACTTCTCCCTTCAAAAGCCTAAGCGATACTAACGGGGTGACCGGAATCAAGCTTCAAGATAGTTTAGGTAATTTCTAGGTAATTTCGCGTTCGTCAGTCACCCTAACGCAAACCACATACAGGTATTACACACATCCTTTAGGTAAATCCCCAATTTTATAGAATGTCTAAGTAATCTATAGGATATGGGGTATCTGGATTATATAAACTACTTGAATTTATTATGTAAACAATATCAAATTTCAGGGAAGTAAGGGAAGTTCATTTACAACGGAACACTTCTTCGCATAAATGGTATGAAGTTTCAGGTATCACCAGTGCTCTCATGTTAGTTATCAACCAAAGTCTGCCGACGCTATTTGATATAAACCTTTCGTATAAATGGGTAACGTAAGCTTAATTTATAGAAAATTATATTAGTATTAGTAGTTCACTTCATATCTAATTAATAATTTAAAATGTTTGTCTTCTAAAACATAAATAGCAAAACATGCATTGAATAGTTCTAACTTTTTAATACACCTATATTAAGAAGTTATTTTGCGAATATATTCAATGATTATTTTTAGAATTAGGGTAAAAACCAGCTTACAGTCCTCCCGAATGAAGTTCTCAGAGAGCTGAAACTCCAGTGATCCATACACATCCAAATTTATCTTTCATTAAAAATTAAAATGCAGATGTATCACATCTGAGGGCTAAGATGAAATGCTTCGCTTACAGGAAAACGGGTTTCCAATTCTCTAACCTCACCACACAAATCACCGTAGCATTAAGCAGCTACTTTACGCTGATATACCGTAACAGCACGGTCTTTCCCCGGTCGGGTCGACTTATTCGTGCTGCAGCTTGGCTCTACCACGTATATCTAGTTTTAATATCGAAGAAATAGCAGTATACTCCTTGATATTAAAAAAATATTTAACTCTTTTAGGGGACCTACCGAGCGTGGTGATTAAAAATTTGACATAGTTATATAGTACAATTTTCTAAATATTGTTGTGAGTGTAAAAGTTCTTTTTTTTTTACTAAAATGTTTATTGTCTGATGTACAAAAAGATTCAATTAAAGGAAATGCCTTGCCTCTTAAACTCCACTACTGGCCTCTTAAACTCCACTACGTATATTGGTCACAGGATAATTTTAGACATTCTCCCATGATTTTAGCCTAATTACAGAAGAAAATAGAATCTTTTTTATTAAATATAGATAACATGTAATTCTTGATGGCAACTTTTTTTCAAATTTTACTTTACCACTGGTTTAGAAAAAAACCTATGTCCTGACAAGAACCAGCAAGAAACCCAATAGGACTTTTTTTTTAAAAGTTAATTATGGAATATGAAAGGTCGTACAAACTATTAAGAAATTTAAATTTAGAAACAGTTTGGAAGTGACTTCTTCATTCCCAGGGCTTATTACTAATGATGTATTCATTTATATATTTTTTTATAGGATAAGTGACAAATGAGCACACAGTCCACCTGATGGTAAGTGGTTGCTGCGGCCTATAGACACCTACATCTTTCTGCGATTACAAATCAAAATGCAGATGCGTTGTCACCAGTGAGGACTAAGGTGGAATGCCTCGTTTCCAGTAAAAAGGGTCTCCAGTTTTCTACACTTACCATACGAAACACGGCAGCATTGAGCTACTATTTCACCCTGGTATTCTGTGAGAACGTGTTCCTTCCCCGGTCGAGCGGACCTATTCGTGCTACAACTATACTACTAATTTAACTGCAGCATGGCTCTACCACGTATAAAAAAAAAACTGTACATAATGGGTATAAGGTAAATATTATTTACCTTATATCCATTATAACCCCTTTTGTGTAATAAAATAGTTAAACTTGTTAATATTTCCACGACTTTGTTGTAATAGCGTATAAATTGTTCCATGAATGAATTATTGTCTCTGTGGAGTCGAGAAATCACTAGCTCGTATTTATTACTAGTGTTTAAGGAATGTACATATTATATTACTATTTTTACTTAAACTACTTTTGTTTTTGTGAAGATACATTAAATTTTCGTAAATGTACTGATAGGTCAGAGTAAATATATTTATTTCTTTAGATTTTCTCTAAGAGACTCTTTTGGTTTAAAGCTGTAAATAGCTCATATTAGCCTATTTTGCAAAACAAAAATAATTTCTAAATCAGCCGCATTTACCTATAGGAAAATCCTATAAGACATTATGCTATGGAAATAACTGAAATAAACTGAGTCCTTTAACTCTTTGAGCCACACTTTAATATAAACAATATATATATATATATATATATATATATATATATATATATATATATATATATATATATATGGATGTATTAGTTAGGCCTACTACATGTATAAAAAAATTAAAAATTGCTTCAGCCTTGAGGTGGTTACCAGTACTAACCACCGTGGCTATAGAATAAAATATGTGTGATGAATAAAGAACTTTATTTTTAGAATTATTTCCTTACTTCAACTACTTTTTGAGAAAATCAGCAAAGCAAGTTTTTCCTTTATGTAATGTACACGTCAATAAAACGTTAATTTAAGTTTTCAATAAACAGTAGTTACCAGATCTCTGCCTTTTATTGACGTGTACATTACATTGGCGCAGTCGGTAGGATCGTAGTGTGCCAATACTGGTGCACTGCTCAGTAATTTTTTCATTCGACAAAAAGCAACCTCACACTCGTCATTCCATTGCCATTTAAAATTTTTTTGTAATAAGTTGTACAACGGTTTCATTATATCACTTATATTTGAACAAAACTTTCAGTAGAAATTAACAAGGCCCATAAAACTTTTTAATTGAGTTACATTTGTTGGAGATGGGGCTGCCACAATGGCTTTAATTTTGTTAGAATCCGTGTGCAAGCCGTCCTTATCAATTTTATAACCTAAATACGTTACACAATCCTTAAAGAATTGACATTTACTGAAATTGATTCTTAACCAATTTTGTTTTAACCTTTCTAACACTGCTCTCAAATTTGCTAAATGGGTAGTTTTATCCTTTCCAGTTACATATATGTCATCTGCAAATACAGCCGTTGAAGGCAAGCCACTCAATGTTTCCTCCATAATTTTTTGAAAGTTTTCAGGAATACATTTTATTCCAAAAGGTACTCTTTTGTAAATGAACGTCCCGATATGAGTGGTAATTGCTGTGCAGCGGCTGTGATTTTTTATCTAATAAGCATTGTTGGAACGCACTTGATAAATCAAATTTTGTGTACTGTTCGCCGCCCCCCAAGGTCGCAAAAAGTTCTTCAATCCGCGGTAAAGGATAATGAAAATCTTTTAAAATCGGATTTATTGTTATTTTATAATCCCCACATATTCTGATCGAGCCATTCGATTTAATAACAGGGACAAAATAGGCGTACCGTATTCTGACCTTTCGACTTTGTAAATAACCCCTTCGTGTTCTAACCGTTTGAGTTCGCTTTCGACTCGCGGGCGCAGTGCCAATGGCAGCGGCCGAGCCTTCACAAAAACAGAAGTTTCAACCTTGAGGTGCAGCGATACAGATGACTTGATTGTACCTAAACCTTCTGCAAACACTTCAGGGAATTCGTCTCTCAAAGCTATTGTTACCGACTCCGAGTCGCTAATATTGTGACATTCAACAATTTCTATTTTCAATTTCTTAATCCACGTACGGCCCATTAAAGGTGGACCGCCGTTTTCAATAATAAATAACTTAAGAGCATCGCCGACTTTGAACCACAGGTAACCATTACCACAATATAACCGATTATCTCGATAACGTCGCCAGTATATGATCTCAGACATAACAATTTAGTTTGAATAGGTACATGTTTAAAATGTTTATCATCAAAATGTTTCCAAATAGCCGATATTTTACTGCCCGTGTCAATTTCAAATTTACATGACACCTTATCTACTACTAAATTCGCATAGTACGGTCCGTCACCGTCATTACTTGTAATCAAGTTAAAAAAATTACAGTCATCATCTGAGTCCGAATCATTTAAAAAATACTGACCTTTGTTCTCCTTTGCACTCTTAAGTTCACTTTTACCTTGACACATTACTTTTAAATGGCCCTTCTGGCCGCACGCATCACATGTATAATTTTTAAAACAACACTTACCGGCTATGTGACCGGTCTTACCGCAACGCACACAAAGTCGACGCTGTGACGTCACCGTCGTAGGCACGGGGGCCGCGCCAGATCGTGCGCGCGTCCCGCCGCTGCCGAACCGGTGCAGGCCGCCCTCGCCGCCGGCCGCCGCTGCGCCTGCCCTGCCAGCTCCGCCAGCGCTCGCGCCGCCCGATGCGCATGCCGTGCTTGCTTGCCGCTCAGCTGCCTCGAGCGCCGTGGCCAACTCCACAGCCCTTTTGTAGTTTATACTCTTTTCGGCAAACAATCTTGACCGCATCTCTTCGCTGTATAAACCCGACACGAACTGATCACGAAGGTTTTCTTCCAGAGTATTACCGAAGTTGCAGGTTTTAGCCAAGTATTTTAGACCATGTAGGTAAACACGAATACTTTCTCCTTGCTGTTGCGTCCGCTGCTAAAAAATGTGTCGCACCGCTATTTCAGATCTCTCCGGCTCCAAATGATTTTTGACGAGTGTAACCAATTCTTCGAACTTCTTTGTGACCGGTTCCGCGGGTGAACATAAATCACAAATCAGATTATAGCACTCGGAACCCACTAACGTCAAAAGCGTAGCTACTTTTAGATTGTCATCGATACTATTTAACAATATAAATTGTTTTACGCGACGAATGTAACTGTCCCAATTTCGGCTTTCGATATTAAAAGGTTCTATTTTTCCAATCGGAATTATGTCAAACAAAATTCCACGTAAGTACCGAACTTCTAGACCGACTGCGCCAATGTAATGTATATGTCAATAAAAGGCAGAGATCTGGTAACCACTGTTTATTGAAAACTTAAATTAACTCACATCACATTTATTATCGAAGTACCGACATAACACTTTACGTAGGCAAAGAGGAACTTTACACATGCTACACTCCCAAACTGTGCGTACTGGATGAGATTTTGTACTGCAATTGCAGCAGCGCCTAGATGTGCCCTGTTGTGGTTGGTGCCGACTACTTCCTAAACGTATTTCTTGGGGAACTGTTAGTTTGTGACGTTTTATTGGCACAGGAATCGGAAAATGCGGTGGAAAACTAATATTGGAACCGTAGGATGGCTTATTCACAAAAGCAGGGGCAAGAATGCCCTGGTAGACAGAACAGAACAGTCTTGACAGTCCCATATGATCAAGTTTTCGAAGATCTTTGTAAATAACAAAAGAGTTTACCTACGCGCTGTCCAAGAAATGAAAGAATATTCTATGCCACCGTTTACGAGACTTTCTTTCAATGGCATAACAGCTTTTTAGTTGGTCAAACTTGTCTACAAAGTTCATATTTGCGTTTTAATCCTTTACAAAGTCAGGGTAAGCTATCTGGTTTGAGTCACCATTACGCTCTTTGCGAATAACAGTACTGACATTTCGTGGGTCGTGGTAGTTTGATAAAAGGTGGACTGCCCTTTTATCTTTCCTCTTCATCACAGTCACATTTGTGTCACTGACTCGATAGTCATGTTCACCCCTTTCTAACTTAGTATCTTCTTTGAGTGTAGGTAAATGTTTTCTAGTAGCATTTACGGTACCACAAGCCAAGATTTTGTCGTTTAGTAAATCAATCTGCAATTTGTAACTGTTAAAATAATTATCAAATATACTCTGTGATATTTGCCTTTGAGATCTGTACATAATCGCTTTACTATTGTCGCACCCAAATCTTTTTCTACATTGTGTTCTTGTTTGCCTGTATATAATTGAAAATCGAGACAGTAACCAGACTCAGCACACTTTATCCAAACTTTATAGTCCCGTTTAATCGATTTTTTTGGGATGTACTGCTTTAGAGAAGAACTTCCTTTAAATTTTATCATATTTTCGTCTACTGAAACTTTTTCTGAAGGCTTATAATTAGCGCGGAAGTTTCTTTGAATAATACACATTCTTTGAATAACAACAAAGGACGAATTTTATACAATTTATCAAAGTTGGGACTCTGTCTAGAAGGAATCAAGCTATTATCGTTCAAATGAATATGATTCAAAAGCAACCCAAATCTGTTCAAAGGCATAAAAGAGGAGATATAGCTATCATGTAGATCAGGTGCAGATGCCCAATAATCTTTATAGCTTGGTAGCTTTTTAATACCCATAACTAAATTTAGAGCCAGAAACACATCAATCTCTTCAGGAGTAGTCGGTTTATAGTTTTTACCAGTTTGAGCATAGTGTAAGTTGGTTTGAAAGCCGATTATTTCTAGCAAATCCTCTGTCCAAAACAAGCGAAAAAGTTGTAGAGGCGTTATATTTTCCATGCTTTGAATATGTTCAGGAATCCTAGAAATCTCACAAAAAGTACCAGGCAGTTTCATAGTGTAGCTTTTTTTCCATTTCGGTGGCCGAAATGTCGAAGAAATATCATCACTGGTTGAGAAGTAGAAGCAGAGGTAGTAGCGGTACTTACAAAATTAGCCAGAGGTATATCATCATCCGAGTCAAAGTTGTCATTGAATGTCTGCACAGCGATAGTGTCATTACCAAGGGTGCATTCGGGGGCTTGATCAATGTCTGATTCTGAGCCACAGTCTGAATCCGACTCTACACAACTTTCAGGATCCGAAGGAATATCTTCTTGCAAGATATTTTGAATTTCTTTTTCTTGTAATGCGCGCTTCATCCTATAAAAAAAAACAAAAACTAACTTGTAAATATCTAGCAAATTATATGTAACTTATTGGCCTATTATGTCACGGTGGTTACCTACACTAACCACCACATTCAAGTACTATTTTAGTAATATTACGAATAATATTATAGTCAAATCTACAGATAAATGTAAACAGCAACACTTTCGACATATTTTAAAATAAGAATAACGTTAGAATAACGAAAACATACCTTTTTAATCCAATAATGCAATCTCCGTGAATTAAAACACTCGCGACCCATCAAATCTCAAGTTCGTAATTGTAACTGACAATCGATTCAACTGACAACTAACAGTCATTTATAGAGGTCAGGGATATATCTGTCATATTCATTCATAAAGTTACCAAAAGGTGGCGTTATTTTTAGAATATCATAGGTAAAAGAGGTGGTTAGCGTTACTAACCACCTACGCTGAAAGAGTTAACAGCATAAGCTGCAGAGCTTAGTCTGCTTTTTTAGTCTGAATATATGAGGTCCCCACTGAAGCTTTGTGACGAGAGTGGAGCCAAAAAAAAAAAAAAAACAGTAAATTCAACAGGGCTCAGTTCTTTCCTATTTAAAAATACTTTGGTATTCAGATTTTTAACATTCGGCGCTGTAAATTCGGTATATTTAATTTTACTAGCGTTCAAATTGAGATGATAACCTGTTTACTGTTCTTTCTGAGCTAGCGGGACGTCAAATCAACGCAATAATTTTGATAAAGCATTATTCACTGCGTCACATTAAATTATTAACCTTTGAGATTAAAAATCAAGGAAGTATCATCAGCAAATTATTCTATATTATAATTATCTTCTACAAGTAATCCATTATATTAGACTAGTATAGACTAGAAATAGGAATGGGCAAAAAAATGAGCCTTGAAGGACACATATTAACATGTGTAAATTAACGATTCCTTATATTGATGCGAACACTTTACATTTAAATAATAATAGTTTTTACGGATTTTATCGCGCATATTAACTTTTTTTTTATACCCGACGTTTCGAGCACTTCACAGAACCCATTGTCACGGGGGCGGGGGGCGGGGGGGCGAGATGTTCAACTACATGAGTTAACCGCGGTTATCACAGATTAAAATATTAATTTTTGTTCCGATCTACACACTATGAACTTATAGTATCTTGAAGTATTGCAGTTGTATGTTTGAATTGGGATAAAATTAATAAAATTAAATCCCACAAACCATGACATCTGGACGTTGAACATCTTAGTCTCCCCGTGATCATGGGTGCCGCAAAGTGCTCGAAACGTCGGGTATATAAAAAAATCATATGCGCGAACAATCCGTAAAAACTACTATTAATTAAATATATAAGTATAGGTAACCCGAAAAAACTTTTACCATTGACAATTACTTTCTGCGTTCTATTAAATAAATATGAAATAATGAGTTCAGCGTTGTGATATTCACGACATAGTACTGTAGCTTCCTGATTAATGTGTGATGGTGAACACACCATACCACATTAAAAACTATATCCAAAACATTCTCTGAGTTCTCCCATACATAGTTTTGGCCGTCGAAATAAAGAACATTATATCTGGTTTGCCATTATATATGGTATGTATACGAGATATATTCGAGATATTTAAACGAAATACCGTCAATCTGTGGCCATGAGATTATTCTCGTAGCACCTCTTAAGACATCCACGAGACAAAATAGGGTGATGTGTAATTTTACCTCATTTTTCTTTATCTTCGCGGTTATTATGTTTAAATATAGACATTGATTTGCTTTAACTTTTTGATTTTTTAGTTGTCCTTGCAAGGCGGCCAGCGGTATATAGATTTATCAATAAATGGAACACCTATCACACCTGGAATGGAATTATTCGTTGATTACAGCTCCGTGCGCTTTCAAATAGATAAAGAAACTTTGGCCTTAGACAAAGATCTGCGACGCTGCCGCACGACTGATGAGGCTTTAGAATATCTTTCTGTTTATAACAGGTATCATCGTAGTTTTTTTTTTAATAGCAGTGGTACATATTTGAAAGAAAAGTTCGTTTATTTAGTCAAAGTATTTATCTTCCTGCCATTTCTGCTATCCCGACGAAAGATCATTTATGCCTTTGTGATAAAACTCCGGGGAACTGGATTCTGCTAAATTAATGAATGAATTTTATAAAGCTTCCTGGAAATAACATTTTTATTTACTGCTATTTGAAGCCGGTATTTTGTGAGAGCGTGATCCTGCCCCGGTCGAGCCGTGCCATTAGTACTGCCCTCATAGTATAACTACAACATGTGTTATATTTTTAAACTGCGTATCAATTCACTTTTTTATGTCAAATGAAGTCGTAGCAGCTCAGAGACTCACTCACAATTTCAGTATGCACTCTTTTATATTTATTTATTTAAAAAACGTACATGTAACACTATTATTTATTTATTTAAAAAACTTACATGTATGTCTAGAACAGGTAAATGAAATTGTATACTTGGGGAGTGCTTTCAGCCAGGATGGAAGATGTGATTTAGATGTGGACAGGCGTGTCGCTGCCGGGAACAAAGTCAATGGTGCCCTGAATGCGTTAGTCAAAAGGCAAGGCGTAATGAAGAGTGCACGCCTTGCAATAAATAACGCAGTGTTGGTGCCGACTTTGTTATATGGCAGCGAAACCTGGGTATGCCAGAAGAAGCATAAAAGCAAGTTGAATGCAGTGGAGATGCGATCTCTTCGTAAAATGTGCGGCGTTATCATAGCCGACCGAAAGCGAAACGAAGAGATTCGCAATATGGCAGGATTGAAAGATGACCTTATCACAAAAATTGATAGGGGCGTACTCCGATGGTTTGGGCACGTTGAGCGAATGAGTGAAGACCGAATGTTGAAGAAAATATATAGCGCGAAAGTAAACCGAGACTAACTTTCGAAGACCATGTGAGCAAATTACTCGAAGAGGGGAAGGTCAAGAGTACTCGGATACCTAGACGTGCATGTATGAGTTAATGAACATGAAAGAAGTGAAAGAGGTATGTAAGTATCGTGACACTTGGCGATCTGTTCTTTCTGGCTACCCCGTTAGGGATTGTGCGTGGAGATAAGTAAGTAAGTAAGTAAGTACATGTAACACCTTAAGCTAAAGGGTACATAGGGCGGACTTAATGCCATGTGGCACTCATATAATATATTCATAATATATTATAATATATATGCATATATTCCATCAGTGCTAAAACTATCCCGCAGAATGTCTGTCTGAATGGAATGTCTAAAAATATTTCGAGGATATGTAAAGTCAGTCATGATAATAGTAATAAAATAATAATAATAACCCAAATGCAGAAGGCGATACTCCTCGATACCGCACGATTCGTCCGCCGGCTTCTTTCTTCTTACCATTAACCATCAGCCGTTTGGACTCTCCTGCCGAGGCCATCCATCTGGTTTGAATTTTATTTATTTATGTCAGTGTATTCAATATATATTTATCATTTCCTTATATATATATATATATATATATATATATATATATATATATATATATATATATATATATATATATTCGGCACAACCAAATAAAAATACTTTATAAATACCCTTTCATAATAATAATAACATTGTCCTTCAGATCAAGATTCTGTCACGGAGGCCAGTCTTAATGGAGATGAGGTATTTTCACAGGATCGAATTGTATATTACCATAGTGTATGCGGAAGCGAAGATGAACTCTCTATTCCATCACTTTCATAAGCCGATGCGACCAGAAAAAAATCTTGCGCAGGACTAACGGCTTTGTATGATTTCTAAAGCACGGTAGTGAAACACCGCCCACTTCTTGCCTCCGTGCTGTAAATGAGATATATAAACGGAATAAATAACTCTTTGACTTAACTTGGGACACGAATCTGGGACTTTACGGTCAGCAGTTGCGTTTTCGACCAATAGGTCAATTAGGCAGTAAGTCCACCAACATGCATTAGGGCAGTGCGTGTATATGTGTGTTTATATTTAATTATATGTTTAATTATCTGTACGCAGACAGTTCTGCATAATGGAACGCGAAATGAAAAGGATAGTAAAGTACTGTGGGTGCACACAAGTTGTACATCCGCGTATACCTGGGATCCCTGTTTGTCGCGCTCGCCAACTGCTGTGTGCTAGGCGTAATACAGGTGGTTACTAGTAATGGTATTTTTTTAAATTATTATTTGTTTTTGATTCTTCAATGATTAATGTACTCTAATATATACTAAAGAGTTATTAGAGTTTATTCGATATTAAATCTGGCTTAGCCACTGCACCACGGACGTGTCAGTATCGCAATAGTTTAGCAATTAGTTGCAGGTCTGCGAGCTGCGAGTCATGTATTCACATCCCGCATGGCACAAGTGGCTTACAAATAACCGTACCTGGGGGTTTACCTTGAGAAAAATAATTTCGTGTGATAAAGGAAAAAATCCTGTTTAGGTTAAAGTAACCGAACGAAATGAATAAAATAAAATAAATGAAATATATCATAATTCTAACGATGTGGTAGAAAAAGAAGTTTAATAGCTTTGCAAGAAATTTGAGAATAAGGAAACAATTACACTTTGCATAATAACATATTATTTATCAATTTTCAAATCGGGTGACGACGTATCTGTATTTTGATTCGTAATTGAGGATAGATGTGATAGATGATGTGTGCTCGTTTGTTACCCTATCTTAAAAAAAAAATTATCCGCATAGGATATTATTTTCATTATTTTTCCTACAAAATTTTGGACAGCTATTGCGATTCATTTGTAAAAAAAAACGTTTATTAAAAGTTAGAGCCGACTACGAAGAACTACAAAGAATAAAATAATTTCACAATCTGAGTCGGGACCTTAATTATTCTGTACAGTATTTTCTAAAAATACAATTATATACTATTTAATTCTTCGAAGTATGTTTTTAGATGTTTTTATTGAAAGTTAATTTTTGAGTAATCGCCGTTAAGATTTCACTGTCCATTTAAATATCTTTATTATAATACTGAGCCTTCTATTGATTCGATTATTTTTATGAAATTTAAACCACCTAAAAAGCCTTTTCTAATCCGATTAAATAATATTGGACCTAAATTTAAGCCCAGGGGTACACTATGTCCTGGAATACAACAGCGCACGCACTGCTGTTTGGTATCAGATGTGTCGGCGCCGTTACGACAGCACCGACAGTGCTCGCAGTGAGTGCGGGGGGTTTTTCTCACCACCACGCCTAAGACCGTCACTCGCCGATAGCTCGCGACCCGATCACCACCAATTTAGTTTATATCTTGATTATTTAAATAAACAATTTGCCTATCGTGTGAGTCGCCTATTCTATTCATGTTCCCTAATTGAACAAGATGTAGATATAAAAGGATGATACCTACAAAAATGGACGTAAATAATGTTATAATTAAAGAAGAAAACTATAATATATTTAAAATAAATCTGATACAATTTCTTTTATCCGTTCTAGTTTCCTACGGTGCATACAATTATCATTGTCCAGTGAGCTGTGATACGGAAGTGGACTACGTCACGACCAAAGCTATCAAATTGGACCCAAAGTTATCTCCTTACGACAACTTTTAGTATGTGAAAAATTTCCTACCTCCTATTCACAAGAAGAATGAGACTCAGTTCTGTATTTTAAAACTTTTCCTCAACAGCGATGACTTGGATTACACTAAGGTCAGCATAATAAGGGTGAATGTAAAGAACCGCAATACAAAAACATTTTCCCGAAGGCCATACTTTACACGATTTGAATTGTTTGGTATGTCTACATTAATATTTTATATGTGTTTTCTTTATAATTAATTATTTACCTGCTGTTGTATAATATTAATACCCTACCAAAAGTACATCATCATATACATGAGAAAATATTTAGACTTATGTACCTTTGCCGATCAGGTAAATGTAGATGTTATTCATCTGCTTGTATATTTTAAGATCAGTCTTCCAATTACTTTCCAGTATTATCTAGTTCTAGATTCATAAACAGTTGTGTGGGACGATATTTGAAGAAATTATTCATCATCATCATCATCATCATTACTGTATAATACATATCAAAAGTACACTGCTGAATTTCTGAATCTGAATGAGGTTATCTAATAGGATGAATATTTGTCATAGTTTTCACTTTTTTCGAGCGGCAGTTTTTATTATTTTGAGCTGATATTAGAAAGATACCGCTGCCCGTTTCCCGTTTCAGTTAGCCTTTATTGTTTCGACACCCAAAGATTGATATGGGGAAAGTAATTCTGTCACGCTACCAACGCATGGCTTAATTACATAAGTAAATAATTAAGTTATATTAATAAACTATTTTTTATGGATTTTATCGCTTGCAAGCATTTTTCGACAAAAAACAATCGTGCGTTGTAATCTCTTGGTTGTAGAGCTTGGACGGGCCAAATGTGCTAGGGATGAATTTTGTTTTCAGTACTTGGTGCACGGTTGTCTTCAAGATTCTAGTACATCGTGCTGTTATTACTCTAGTAGAAGTGGACGGGTCTTGCTCAATTTAGTTAAGCACAATGTTTTGTGTATTGATATAAGTTAGTCTTTCAGTACTCGTACCACCAATGCCGCTGCCAGGTATTCTAGCTACCGAATAACACCTGTGGACTCTGATGAATACGCGGTAATCTGGGTGACGCGTGGTAGGGTATCTTTCCCTATAAAGGGCTGCAGCAGCACTTGATTCTGCATTAACC